CCTAAAACCTAATTAATTTTAATTAAAAAAGATTAATTTTGAAAAAAAGTTAATTAAAAAAACCTAAAAGCTAATTAATTTTAATAAATAAATAAAGGTTAATTTTGAAAAAAAGGTTAATTAATAAACCTAAAACCTAATTAATTTTAATTAATAAGAAAAAAGTTTATGTTTAATGATAAATAAATAAAAAAGAATTAAGTTTGCCAAAAAATAGATAGGAGAAGAAACATCAATGGAAAATAGGGTTAGAAAACAAAAATAGTGCAAATGTCAGAGGTGGGTGTTGAACCCACGTCCTTTGCCTTCACAACAACATGGCTTGCCAAAAAATAAATAGGCGAAGAAGAATCAATGGAAAATAGGGTTTATCCTACATAGTTATACCTCAGAAGCATGTTAGTAATGTTAGTATGCATCAAAATAACGTGAAAACAAAAATAAAAATTACAAAAAAAGGGAAACTAGAGAGCCCTAGTTTTGAATAATTTTGGAGTTTTTTGGAATAATGATCTCTTGCCAAGTTTTTTGTGTCCTTGTTGTTGTCTGAATATGAGATATATATAGAGAAAAATTAGGTCAAAAGAAGTGGGCTTGGACCTTTGTATGAAAGCATTGATTTAATTTAATTTATTTTGAATTTAAATAAATAAAATAAAAAATAAATGGAATGAAAATCAAAAGGGTGTATGAATAGGTTCAAAGTTTCACTATGAGGCCTAATACACGTTTGGACCTTGAAACACAAGCCCATTAGCCCAAAAATTCGAGTTTGATCAATTTAGGTTTCATGTATTTTCTCGAAATTTCCCAACTTGTGTCAATCATAACTCTCTCAGTTTTTATCATATGAAGGCGATCTTGGACTTTTTACAAAGCTCAAGATGTCCCCTACAATCTCTATGTTGATTTTTTCATTTGAAGACCTTATCTTGATGTAAGTTGCCTTGACAAAAAGTGTCTTTTTGTTGACTTTTGAAATGACCTATGATGTTTTGGCTCATATCTCTCAAATGAAGCATTTTTTGGATGTGATCTTAGAGAGTCAAAGTTGTAGAGAATTGAATTTCCTTCTAAATGAGATTTAGTTGAGAAAAATCTGACGAAGCATGTGAAAGTTATGCTTGGTCAAAGTTCAATTGACTTCTCCGTAAGAAAACTCTAATTTGGCAACTTTGACTTTTGATGAATTGAGAGTTTTCTTGATGAATCATGATCAACCCTTGATAAAATGATGAATGTGACTTCAAAATCTTGATGTTTACCAAAAATCTTGAAGTTTGACTGTATGTTGACCACAATTGACTTTTTACGCAATATAGTTGATTTTTAGTCATCTGAGCAATTGACTTAGCAAACTTGTGATGTAATGCTTGAATTTGGCATGAGCATTCCTTGAGACATATGAGGAACCATGAAATATACTCGAGGCATTATAAGCTCAAATTTCCTTGAGAAAAGTGAAACCCTAGTTGTAGGTCAACTGCATAGAATGAGAATTTGTCTGATCAAATATTGAGTAGCCTTGAGCAATTGAAACTCCTAGGAGCATGAGGAGGTGTCTTGAAGAAAACGGGAGGGAGAATTTTGGGGTAAAACAATTTTTAATACTAATGTGAGCAAATTTGGGGTATGACAAAAATACCATAAATTGTGGAAGCAAGTTTTGTCATGTTAAAGCCACTCATGACGAATTCCTAAAGAGCAAGTTCATGCTCATCTGGAGATTTATCAAAAACCTTTTATACTTGAGCAATTTGACTTCTTTATAAATATTCATATCTATTTTGAAGAGATTTTAATTCATTTGTTTTTAGTTTAAATTGTTTTTTTCAAAGTTTTCATGTGTCTGGCTTTTTATTGACAATGACCCATAAGGTCTTGAATTAAAGTAATTAAACCTGAAAGTTTAAAAAATACCTCATATTCTTCTTCAGAATCTGAACCAGAGTCTGAGTCAGACTCTGTCTCTGAAGATGTTAGAGCCACCAGAGCTAGATTGGCTTCTTAATCACCTTTGTAAGATTCTTCTTCTTTGTCAAGTTTATCCCATGTTTCCATGAGACTCTCTTGACTTTGTTTTTGAAGTTATTCTTATGATAACTTCCTTTCTTTGACTTGTCCCTATGCGGCTTTGGACAATCAACAATGAAGTAACCAGGCTTCTTAAAATTGAAGCTTCCTTTTTTTATCATATTTCTTATCTCTGGAACTAGACCCTCTAAAGTCACCGCTTCTTCCCGAGGGTTTTTTGTTCTTCTTATCCAGATACTGAAACCTCTTGATCAAGAATGACGTTTCTTCAACATCCGAGCCTTCTTTAGAATCTCTTGCAAAAGCAACTTCTTTAGACTTCCAGACTTAAGGAGATTTGACAGGTCGACCAACATATTTCAAAGTAAGAGACTTAAGTTTCTTTGCAGGCCCATCTCCTATAAGTTCCAACTCACGACTTTAAAGATTACTTATCAAACTTGCAAGACTAATCTTGTTCAAGTCTTTAGTTTTTTGAATGGCTGCCACTTTTGGTCTATATTTAACATGAACTCTTAAGAATCTTCTTGACATGATCAAAAATTGTATAGATCTTGTTCAAAATCCGAAGTCCAGAAACTAGAACTTGAAACCTTGAAAATATGGTTTCAATATTCTCATCTTCCTTCATTATGAACAATTCACATTGTTGGACCAAATTGTTTTCCCATAGAATGAAGTAAATGAGTGGACTCTAAAAATAAGAAAGGAAAATATTTGAATTAACATGTCTTGATTGCATAGTATAAAGCTTTTCATTACCGAAACTTTATAAAAGAAAAATGCCAACAAAAAAAGTCTCACATCGTGAGTTATGTTTAATTTGATTGTATATATATCATACACAAATAATATTAAATAAAAACTTGTGATCCGAAGAAACGAGTTAGGTGTATATTTTAACATAATTAAGTTGTTTTAAAATTTGTATTAATTAATTTTTATATAATTTTTTTAATAAATTTAATAATAAATAATAAATAATTCATTTATAAAAATTATGTGTATAATAAAAAATTAATACGAGATGCACAAAATAGAAGACCAAAATTATAATTTAGTGTTTAAAATAAAAGTTAAAAAAAGTCGGAATAAAAGTGTAACTAAATAAATTTATAAAATAAAAAGAAAAGGAGAAAAAAAGAAGAAGAGATATATCAAAAACGAGTTTTTCACGTAATTGCTCCATTCCGACAGAGCAAACCCTAGACGCAAAATTGTTAATCCTCTTGTACTCTCATCAATCGTAATTCCTTTTCAATTCACCATGGACGCTCAGAGAGCTCTCCTCGACGAACTAATGGGTTCAGGTACTGCTTTTTTTTTTCCCTCACTTGAATTATTTATTCGATCTCATTCCTATATTGAATAATTTATCTTGGAATTCAGCTCGAAATTTGACGGAGGAAGAGAGAAGGGGTTATAAGGAAGTGAGCTGGGACGATAGAGAAGTTTGTGGTTTCTATATGGTCAGGTTTTGTCCTCACGATCTCTTCGTCAACACGCGTAGTGATCTTGGTGTGTTTTTCCTTCAACTATTGCATCATGATTTTGATTGGATATTCTTCATCTTTAATTGTTTCTTCTATAAGTTTTAATGGGTTTATACTCATGCAGGACCTTGCCCCAAAATACATGACCCAAAGTTGAAAGAAAGGTAAAAACATATAAATGTCAGTAAATTGTTTTGATTTCCCATTATTGTATACACGACTTTCAAATTTAATCAGTTTTTACTCTGCTGGTGACTTCAGTTTTGAAAATTCCCCAAGACATGATGCCTACGTACCCAAATTTGAAGCCGAACTGTCTCAATTTTGTGAGAAATTGGTAAGTAACCTATTCAAAGGCCTTGTGTTGACCTTTGTTTGTATGTTGATGTTCTTCCTTTTTTCTGGTAATAATCTAATCACAGGTGATGGACCTGGATAGAAGAGTAAAACGTGGCCGGGAACGTCTTAATCAAGAGGTGGAGCTACCACCGCCGCCACCTCTGACCGCTGAGAAATCTGAACAGCTGTCTGTGCTGGAGGAGAAAATAAAGAACCTTCTGGAACAAGTTGAATCTCTTGGTGAAGCTGGGAAGGTTGATGAAGCTGAAGCTCTAATGCGAAAGGTGCTGAAGATGATTATACACCTTCTTCCCTTGTATATACGGTTGATGATTTATTAGGTTTTTATGATGCTAATTATAGAAATTACTTTGTGAGGATTTATTTTTTGGGGGATGTTTCTTTCAGGTGGAGACACTTAATACGGAGAAGGCAGTCTTAACACAGCCTCAAAATGAAAAAGTGTTAATGCTTCAGGAGAAGAAAATGGCACTCTGTGAGGTATGTGGTTCTTTTCTTGTGGCAAATGATGCTGCAGAAAGAACTCAGTCTCATGTTGCAGGAAAGCAGCATGTTGGCTATGGCATGGTTCGTGATTTCATAAATGAATACAAAGTGAGTTTTATCCTAAACAAATTTTTACATTAATTTTATAAAATCTTTCTTGAAACTATAGTTGGTATATTGTATTTCAGACTGCTAAGGAAAAGGCTCATGAAGAAGAAAGATTGGCTCGGGAAAAAGAGGTAGAAGAGCGAAGAAAACAAAAGGAGAAGGATAATGAGAGAAAGAGACGAAGTGATTCAAGTGACAGGGAGAAATATCGGGATAAAGATCGAGACAGGGAGCTTGATCGGTACAGAGACAGAGACTCAGAACGTGAAAGATCTCGGGAATATGAAGTTAGACTTAGAGGTCATCGAGATCCGGGAAGGGAGATGGATTCTAGGTCGAGGAATGGAAAAAATGGGGGCAGAGACAGGTACCGCAATCGGAGCAGATCACGTTCCCCTATAAGGCATAACTACAGAAGGTCTTGAAGTCCAGTTTGCTCCAAGTAGTGGAATTTCTCTATAGATGTCAGAATTTGAATTTAAAAGAGGTAGACCTTAATATCCCGAGACTTTCATCAATATGTTCTTTTGGAGTCTTAATTTTTCTCATCATCAAGGGTGAATTTACCCTTTTCCCATCTCAGAGCTTTCCTGAGACTATACAATCTCCTTTTCATCAATATTATTAGTGGAGAAGAGGGTTGAGGTAGGCATTTCACTGTTGTAACTTTTCTCACAAATTTGATTTTAAGTAATTTATGATAATTCATCTCAAACATTGTGTGTAGTCTTTCTTTACCTGCATTTTCTGGAAATCATTTGATTGAGTCAAGATGTCAGACACAAAATTGCATGAGTGCCTGTCATTGCTGCAAAAGGGGATGGTTGGTTTACTCTTGTTTTGAGGTAACATGTGAATCTTATCACCCTGGGACAAATAAATTGGTATTTGTTCTTAGAAATGTATTTGTTTGCCCTTTTCGTCTGTTTCATTACCTGTTTCTTAAGTTGATATAAACCAGCACAGGTTTATAAATTCTCTGCTTATTCTGACATGCATTTGACATTGAACTACTACACTCTGAAGGCACCGGTTTAGAAGATATAGGTAAATTTACTGAATTTGTTGTTAGATGTTTCCCCAATCTATCGTATAGGCAATTATAATATATTTGGGGGAAGAAAAAGCTAGTGCATGTTGTCCACTCACAAGTTAGCAGTTTCCTTTGAATTTATCTTATTGGTAATGGCTTGGAATGGTGAATTAGCTCAGCAATAAAAATATAACTTGATTTATAAAATGCTGTTTGAATTGAACATTCATAGGACTGAAAATACAGGTATTTGGCTCTTTTCCAAGTTATTTGATAGCAGAAATATTGTCATTTGCATGAAAAACCATCATTGAACTGAGGTCTTAGGTTGTTTCCTTTTGTTTTTCTGAACAAGTGTCTGGGTGATGGGAGGTAATCGGCTTTCATCTATTAACAAATGTTAAATTTGGTATTAAGAAGTACCGATGTCGTTGTGATATTTAATTGTTAGATAGCTTCTGGATGTGACACGGGCAGGAAAATAACTGCTTCTTGATGGGAGAAAGGACAATGAAAACTTGTTATTTTTATTTTGCGGACAAGTGATGTTATTCAATTGGCAGTCAAACTTTTGGTAAATCTTGATAGTGGTCATGCGCATATTTTCAAAATTCAGTCTTAATGATAAAAAGAGGAATTTTGGAATAATTTCTTGCCCTGATATTCATTTTCTTGTTCGAGCTTTTGTAGTTTCAGATATCAAGTTTTAAGATGTATTTTGATATATATATATATATATATATATATATATATATATATATATATATATAAACGATCATAGACATCATAGAAAAACCACCAGGAGTCACTTGGTTATAAATGTCTGATTGCTCGATGAGTAAGAAAATGTAGGACTGCTACAAATGATCTATTTTCAACTCAATGGAAACCATTCGGTACATAGTCAAATTTTATTAAAGTGCAATAGCTAAACCGATTCTAAATAAAATCGAAAACAAATAAAAATAAAATAAAAATGGCGTGCAAAATATTATTAAATGCTTTTTATGCAAAACTTTTGAATTTCAATTAACTTTTTTAAGTTGAACTAAATCGAACCAACTTGCAAGTTGAATGCATTATAGTGCATTATATAAAATATCAGGAATTACTCGGTAGACTCATATAAAAGTACTTCCTTTGGTGAATTATTTCGTAGATGTTATCTGGAATCCTCCGTCATTCACATAAGAACAACATTATTGTCTAAATATTTGATTTTTGTAAGGTCAATTTATATTAACGTAAAATAAAATTATATTAAAGTTAAAAGATGGTAAGAATTCATAAATAATAAAAAAGTCAAGATAACAAGTACATTAACACGAAAATACCATTATTGGGTATGTCTAATCGCCTGCCTCCTCCTCTGCTTGTACTACATAATATTCTGTAGCTCGAAAATCATGGTCTCCACGAGGGTCAATTGGGGGAGAACCATCCTTAAAGAGTCCTGTCTATATAGCTCTTCTATCTATATTTACAACACGCTGACATACTGCTGTCACACTCTGCCTGTTCATCCTGAACCTCAAATATCTCCTGGTTAGATGGCTTAGGTGTGACACCCTATAGAACTATGCCATATATCCATTAACATAAGCTCAATGTACATGAGCACCTCTAGCGGATAACATCGCTGAACCATCGATCAGTGGGTTGTGGCAACACCAATATCTTTCTGCCTAATCATTTTCAAACAATCACACTCCTGAAAAAATAAAACATAATCAATGTGGATATAATTAGTTTACAACACATGTATTGCGAAGTTTACAACACATGCATTGTGAAAGAAAAGAAATATAGTTCTCCATTTCAGACACGCCTAGCAACAATGCTCTATATAATTATAAAGTAAAAAAGTATAGCCATCCAAAATAAGTCTCTAGTGAGACATCCTGATCGGCTTTCTCCTGTGCTTCAAAGGCTCCAGGGTAAACAAGGACCTCAGGTTCTGCTATATCATATGCCTGAGAGAGTCGGCTCTGAACCAGACGGCTGGGGCTGCAAAGCAGATGCAACATCAAACAAGTTATCAGTAACTTGTGGTCTCGTGGTCCTTGTTGCGATCCTCTCACGTCGTACCGATGTAGTTTAGGACACACGCGCGAGCCTAATTTGACCAATGTTGTCTTCAGTCATTGCACCCACGTTATAAACAGATAGATATAAACATGTCTGGAGAAAATTACAAAATACATAAAATAACCAAATTTTATGACTTAGTCCAATCCAGAAATGCATCTCAGAAAATAATACAGGCTAAATCTCGAGATGCATATCCAGACAAACTTGCGATTGTCTTAGTCATGGGAGATACTCTATTTCTTCTCTAACAGACCCAATAAACCTCATTACATATTTTAATAGTCTATCATTTTCGTTTACACTATTACCTAATATACCTAAAACAACTAATATATCTTAAAAGCCAACTAAAAATTAAAACATAATTTTTTTTGAAAAACTCACCAAAAGAAATTGATTGACGAGAAGGAACGGCTTAGATTTTATAAGATGCTGGAAAGAGCTCCAATATATCTTGCACATGTACGTCCTCTAGTACTTACATACAGTCTCAGCTATTTAAGAGGAAATGCTATTTTTTATAGGGAGTTTGAATTTTTAACGATAAAATATACTTTAGAGAGCAGTAAAACGTAGTAGAGGCTTAAAGAGGCAGAATTCAACAAATTTATGGGTTAAATATTTCTCATTAATTTTACACGTGTAATCAGTTTAATTCACTCAATTATCTTTATAATCATCAGTAGTTAAACTCTCTAGTGTTGGAGATAAGCTCATGTACTTGATTAAACTTTGTATTATGAATTGATCTTTTCGATTGAAAGTTTATTATTGATCAATAGTTCATTTTGATCTATGCTTAATGCTTTTTACTTTTTGACCATCTATAAATTGTTCTCCATAAAGGAATTTCAACTTATAATACTTAATAAAATTATTCTTGCTATTTATTACCTAGGCTTAGGGATAACACATGAAACTATAACGTTCCCCTTAATTAAAAGTTTAGTTCTATATATAATTCCCTAATAGTTATAAGGGATTCACTGAGAAATTAAAGATAGATAATATAAGAAATCGGTAGCCAACATGATAGTAGAATTTAACAATAAAATCAACTTAAAATGAGAAGCAAAGTCAATCTCATCCTTAATACTTTTTTTATAATAATATATAAATAAATTTGACTTTTTAAATATATTTTACAATTAATATATCTAATTTATATATGTATTAGATATATTAATTATCAAATATAAAAAATAAAAAGTTAAACTTCCTTATAAATCGACACTCTTTAGAAGGGGTACCAATTTATCATATTAATATATATTTTTAATATACATTTTATCATATTAAATTAAAAAACAATTAAATTTAGTTCTAGTATAGATATTGAACCAACCAAATCAGACCCTTTTGTTCAACTGTGTCATGAAATTAAATTCAATAGTATTTTTAGTCTTTAAGTTCGACACTCGATAGCTTTACCTTTACCCCTTTTATTATTCATATGATTTAGCATATTTGTTAAAATCACAATCAAGTTTTTTAAGCCGTTGCTGGGACTGTTAATTAATGTTGAATTTTAAGATTTTGTATCACTTGAAATTTTTTACCTCAAACAAAATTTTTGCTTTTATTTTGATTTTATATTTTATTTTATCATTTAAAAATATTAAATTTTACTTTATGAATTCTTTTATACTTTTCTACAAATAAATTATTTGATATTTGTAGCCATGTATTTGTTTAAAACATTATATATTTCTCCTGTATGTTAGTCGTCTGATTCATAAATTATTTTAGAAAAAGACAATTAAAATTTATAAAACATATAAGAGAAAAATAAAAAATCTTTTGAATGACCTTAATAAATAATCTTGTTTCGATATTAATATAGAACAACAAGAATTCATAGACTTTTTTTCAAGAGTATGAATTACAAGAGAAATATGGGAAAGAAGAAGAAAAGTACATGCGATTAGAAGAAAAATATGAATTAAGAATAGAAAAAATTGAGGTAGAAAATAAATATGAGAAAAGAGAAAGAATGAAACTTAAGAATGATCTAGTTTGTTATTAAACTCCAAATTTAATAACTTGTTAAGATGTAGATATCAAATAAGAAATCTCTAACAAATTTTTTTTTTAGTAATAAGACAAAAAAGAAAAGAAATTGATAAAGTATTAAATATCACTTATACCTTGCTCACTAATATCAAACCGCGAAGAGGATTTGTAAGCAACATCATATATATCTCAAGTTCATGAGAATCTTACCAAACAAAATAAAAACAAAGATGATGTATTATTTGTGTCATTTATGCCACCCTAACGTGAGTGATAAGACATCAAACTAAGGACGTTACATAAGCATTTCATGGAAAAGAACGATGTGAGGTATTTCTACCTTTCAATATAAGTTTTGATTATTAATTTTTATTTTTAATTTAAATTTTCTTGAATAAAAGTCATCAGAGTATGATTTTGTAGAGTCAATGGGATAAAACCAAGTTGGAACTAAGTATTAGGCGTATGTATGTAGGAATTGGACGTATATACTCCCAAAATTGTCCCTCATGTCAACCTCTATGTCTATTCGCGTATGTATGCATGAAATGGGTGTACGTACGTGTCATACCCCAAATTTGCCCTACCCTTGTATTATATCTAGGGTTCTTTTTTAAATAAAATCGTATTTGTTTAAACTTTTATTTCTACAGGGGTGTAAAGCATCAGAGAGGGGTGTATCGATCCAAAATGGACCATCAATATCTGATGGCCCATTAGGCTTTAATAAAAGTCTATTTATAGTTAAGGGAGGTGTATTGTTTCAAAGGGGGTGTGAACAAATCTTTTTTCATAAGGCCCATTTAGATAGAAAAATGTATAAAACAATCTTGTTTGTTTAAAGCCCAATAATTAACATCTAGCCTATTTCTCTTTTTTCTTTTTGAGAGACTTGTTTGTTATTGATTTTTTGATTTGAATTATTTTGCTAATTTTGAAGAAAAAAAGATTGAACTGACAGACCCAAAACAATTTGGCCCATTCTATTTTTTACCTTTGGTTTGTTTTGAAAGATTATTTATGTTTTAGTTATAACATTATTATTATTAATATTTAATTATATTGATATTATTTTAATTAAAACATTACATTATGAACTTAATAAATTTTGTTTTGTTTGCGGATAAAAGAAAAAACGTTTGGCTAAGGGGCCAAATAACTTGAGGCCCAGTCTGAATCAAAAAGCAAGTTCGGCCCAATCCAAGTCAGGAAACATTATGATCGAAAACACAAAACATGTACTGTACGGATCCGTTGAGAAATATGGCGCTAAGTTGAGAAAACAAAATCAAATTTTTTTGTTTCCTTACTCAAAAGACCTTATAGAATGAATTCAATACAAAACAATAACATACCTAAACAGAAACAAACTAATTATTAATCAATACAAAT